TGTTCATGGGGAGCCTGAAATTACCCCACCACCAGAGCATACTTCTTTTTATCAGAAGCCTGAAATTGACAGTGAGCAGAACAAACGATCCGTGAAAAGATTTGCTTCAGAGCAACTAGAGTCTGAAGGTAAGAAAACTGTGAATGGATCAAAAAAGGTCAGTAATCCTGCATTTATTGCTGCACAGTCAAAATTTGAAGAGCTGAGTTCAATAGCAAATTCAGGCAGGACAAACAATTTGTCCTACCAAGATTCAGCAGTTGAATCACAAGGAGACACCTCTTCTGTTGGCAATGACAGTGCATATAAATCGAAAGAGTTTGCATTTGAAAATCCTGCTCTTTATCTTTCTAGGCTTGCTGGTTCTGATTGTGGCACTGAACTCTCCATTTCTTCAACACTTGATTCACCTGACATATCAGAGCCTGGTATAATGGAAAATGAACGAGATGCCAAAGATTTGGTGGAAGGGATTGGTAATCTTGAGAACACAATAAACCGTGATGATGAGGCCAATGTTTCATCTGCCATCCCAGCTTCTAATGTAGCTACTTCTGTTTTGGATCAGTCGGAGGTTGTTGATGACATTAGTGGCAATTTGGGTCCCTCTGTGGTGGCTGTGGACTCTGGAGAGCCTGCTATTAGTAATATTGAGAAAAATGCATCTGATCTGCAGAGAGAACCAGCAGAGGCTGGTCTGCAAGATTTAAGATCATCTCCAGAAGCATCACCTAGAAGCCATTTGACTGTTCCCGAATCACAAGGAACCCCTTCAAGCCAAGTGTCTGTGCAAACTAAAGAGAACAAAGCCAACAAGAATAGATCTGGCAATAAACGTCGGAGCCTACCCTTAAGTAACAAATCTCCTTCTACTCCAAATCAAGATTCGGGATCAAGAGGCAGTAGGGAGCAACTACCTAAAGATCAGCAGAACGGAAAGAGGCGCACTTCCTTTGGCTCAGTAAAGCCTGATCACATTGATCAAGAACCTAGAGATAATAATACTAGCAACAATTCTGTTCCCCATTTCATGCAAGCTACAGAATCTGCTAAGGCCAAGATTAATGCAAATAACTCGCCAAGATCAAGCCCAGATGTGCATGAACGGGACGTTGAAGTTAAGAAGAGGCTTTCCTTACCTGGTGCCGCTGGTAGACAAGGATCTCCACGTATCCAGCGATCAACATCTAAGGCACAGCAGACTGCCAAAGGGAACAATGTAAATCCTCCTCAAGGTAAACTTTAGAGTATAAGTAACTTCTTTTGCTAGGATTTTGAAGCTTGAATCTTCTTGTTATCAGGAATGGATCATCCGTTTTGTCTTCATTGAATAGTGTTTTCTATCAATTTAGTTTGTACGTGTAAGGGTTGTTGCTAGTAAAATTATGATTAATTGATAAGCCGTTATCTTGGCAGTCTATTGCATTGTTATGGCTGTTTGACATGCTAGTAATGGATAACTTTTTCTTTGTGTGTGTGTGTGGGGACAAGCTTCAATCAATCAGGGCTGGGCACTTTCCAAGAATCCAGCCTATGTTTACAGATTATATCTGGGATTTGGTTTGTCAAAAGTTAATATTTATATTACTTAAATTGTGTTTCTGACCATTGGGTTGTTTGGGGCGGGGTGAACTAGAATGTGAGAGACTTTTTTTTATCAGTTTCTTTTCGAAGTTTGTTTTATAAGTAATGTTGGAAATACCACCACATTTTTTAGGCCCAACTGCCACTGGAGGCATATGGTTAGGGAGATTTTAAGCATAGTTTCCATATTAATGAAAGAATGTTGTTTTAACTTCTTAGGCCAGCATGCTTGTGAATATATCACTGCTGCTCTACCTCTAAGATATTTGTAATGTATGGCTGTCTCTGATCCCTTGTGCTTTCTTTGCCTCACCTTCTTATAGTTAGTCAGAATAATCCTGGTTATTGAGTTAAACATATTGGGTGTCCAGTGTCCGCCCTTTCTTGTGGAGAACATAGATTTTGTCATGAAGAGAAGAGAAAAAAAAATCTGGTTTTTAAGCTGTACTACTTACCACTTGCTTTCTGATTCTTCCAGAGAGAAAATGGCTGAGGTGAATTGATGGCGGAAGTGTGCTGACAAGCTTCTACGATGATTCATTTGTTAATTCTCTTTGAAGCATAGCTGCTCCGTTTACATGCTTTTCTTTTTCTTCTCTTTAAATATTTCTTGACACTTTGCATTCTTTGCCTCCCTTTTCTGCTTCCCCAAATTTGAAGGTGCTCAGTTTGGTTGTGACTGCTGGGAACATTCATTTGTAAAAGTGAGTGAGGCTTATATATGTTATGTACATTGTTTGTTGCTCTGGTTATGGTTATTATTGTGCCATACCTGTGAGGCGCACGCGATTTGTAAGTTTCAGAGTTCAAACTTATGAAATATTTTTATGTTTGTTGAATTTATTATTGTTTTGATTTTGACCAACTGAAGGATTATAGTAGCCATTACTCATCGTTATCGAAATAAGCTGAATATCATCCAGATTTTTTCCCCTTTTTCTTGTGACCTGAGAACTCTTTTGAAAAAACTGAAGTGAAGGATAAAAAGAGCCAAAACTCAGCTGTAATATGCCAAAGCCTTGTTAGCCCGATTCTTTTGGAATTAGCAAAAAGCAAACTACTATTATGGCGGAATTGAGAAACTTCTGACTGAACTGAAAGTGTTTTGGAATTTTTCATAAGTAGAGCTGTCAATTTTTCTTGGATGATTTAGATGTCAACGAACTAACTACAAAAACAAAAAATTACGAGCGGTTGGATACTGATAAAAAGAGTTGGAAATGAGATTATATTTATGAAGTTTTCTAATTTAAAAATAATAATTGATGATAAAAAGTATTTAAATAAGCTTTCTTTTATCAGTGTGAAAATTAAAGGAACTAACTATAAGCAAACTACAGAAATTTGATAAGCACCAAGCCAGTTAACACTGAAATTTGATAAGCACCAAGTTCAGAACAAAAGTTCATTGTGCTTACGTAATTTTTTTAAAAAAGCTGTTGCTACAAAAGTTATTATTTATATAAAATAATAAAAATATAAGTATATAAGCACACAAGATAAGGTTTAACAAATGAAGTTTTCTCATTGTCGTTAGAGTTGTTCAAGTAAGTTAAAACCTCAAATCAATCTAACTCGTTATAATTATAAATTTCAGTCAAGTTGGTTTTAAAAAATTGCAAATTTTGATATGAACTCAAATTCAACCTGGCAATTAAAAACTTGACTCACCCAAAGTTAAATTATTGGCAAGTTGGATTGGCTCACCGATCCGTAATAAAAGAAAAGGTAAAAAAAATTAGATTACACAATTTAAAAATAAAATAAAATTATGTATACATAGAAGTGGGAGAATAAACATATGAGATGCAGGAAGAAACTGCCTTAATAAAGTCATAGGCCTGATTTAAGCCTTATTGGTAACAGGCCCCATAAAACTTTTATGTTTCATACCCGTTTTTTAAATATAAATTTATTGTTATTAATTTTCCCACTAAATAACCTTCTTGGTGGTAGTTAATTTCCAAATTCCCATGAAAAACACACTGTCAGCTTATTGTTGGGAATCCAAGTATGAGTTTAAGTCTTACATTTTATAGAAATAAGAAAGTAGATCAGTATATAAAAGTGAAAGACTCATTAACTTATTATCTTAAAGATTTGGACAGAGACTTATATAATTGACTCATATGTTATTGGTGTTTGTGTAATCCACATGGAACCTCATCCTCAATAGACCCAACACTTCTCCAGAAACACCCTCTAATAAATCTTCTACAAATTAATCTGTATATTTTCATAACTAAACTTTCTAATGTCTATTCATAATTTTCTTTTCTAGAATTATGTTTCTGAAACTATATAAAAACACTTTTGGAATATCTTTTCTAGAATGTGTAACAAATACATTTTAGGAGCATAGTAATGAGAAAAATATGTGGATAGGCTTCAGACGTTTAATTTGAAATGTACAAATAGACTTTTCAAGATTACTTTTTGAAAGCCAACTTTTTAAACAGTTTCACAATTTGAATTCCGAAAGAAAATCCATCAAAGAAAACAAACTCACGTTTCGAAGAATAATGTCATATTATAGAAAAATATTTATTTACATTTTAAACGTGTTAAATAATATAAAAAATTTAAATAATAAATTAAAATATAAATTAACACGTAAAAAAATAGATTGTGATTAAATTGAAATATGTATTATTTTTTAAAATTTAAAAATTAAATTATAATAAATTTGGATTTTACGTTAAAGTTGGAATATCTATTAATTTTTTAAGTTTAAAGATCGAACTAGTTTAAAGTTTTAAAACTAAAATATTATATGTTAAAAAAAGGCCTTAGTTTGAAAAGAAAAAATAGTTGGCCAAGGAAATAATTCTTAACCATGTGTAAAAGAGGGCTCAAACTTTGTGATTAAGAGTATAACTTATATTTGTTTAAAAGGAATAATGAGTTATTAAAATTAATGATATACAATCAATCACCCAAACTTTCAGGTTTTAAACTGTTAATTATTGTTAATAAAATCATTACAAAATACAAGTTAATTATTAGTATGAATTGGATATATAATGTTAACTTAGTGGAAAATAGCGAGAGACGTGGTGACAGTTTGTATAACCTTTAAAAGTAAATAAATGCAATTAGAATAGTTTATGTTTAAAATTAAATACAAATTAAAATTAAAAAAGTTCTCCCGTTTATATTGAAATTACATAAATATATTGAAAAGTATCTTTTATATATACAAATTATTGGTAATTTTATCAAACATTTAGAATTAATAAAGCTAACGTAATACGATGTTTTTTGTTAAAATGTAGCTGAGTTAAGATTAATCTGGCTTGTGACGAGAGAGTGGGTATGTGGAAGAAATGAGAAAATAATTAAGGAGAAAATGTGTAATTATTTTACATAGAGAAAGAAAGAGAATGATAATTGAAAAAATGAGGAAAAATAATAAGAGAAAAAGTTGGGGGTGATAATTGTGGCTGTATATTCCAATTTGCAAGTTGTGTGATTCGGTGAGATTTGGGTGAGTGACGATAATTTGGGGTTTCGAGCTTTAAGGAAAAGGGCAACCTGGGAAAGAAAGAAAGAAAGAAAGAAGTTCTGAGCATGTGAAGAGCGAAGAACTGCGATAGATGGATAGATAGAGAGAGAGGTGGGTGTGTGTGTATGCGTGTGCGTGACGGTGAGGGCCCTTCGAAGATATAAATAGCTTTCTCTGGTTAGGGTTTACTCTCCAATCTATTCTTCCATACTCACACACATTTCCATCCAAGAAGTTTAACGATCCATTCCCTAATTATGCGCCGATTGCAAAAATCAAAAAGAGTTTCATGGGCCTCCGATTTAGATCTTTGTCAGGTAAAATTATCTGCCCAATCCCGAATCGATCCCTTCCTTCCTTCCCATGCTTAACATCCGATACTCGCTACTCTTGTAAACCTTTTTTTTTTTTTTTTTTATTTATGCCTTTTTGTCTTCCATTAATCTCGCTCTGTGTTCTTCTCTCTGTTCGTACTCCGTAATCTACCTTTCCTGGATTCCTATTACAATCTGATCGCTCTTGTTTCCTTCTATCTGAGAATCGAGGGTTTTACCTTTCGAAGTCGAAGTTAACACAGATGCAGTGTAATGTTGCCAGACAAGGAAAGGGATAACCCTAATTGAAATTGTAAACCCTGGAGGACTCTCTCTCTCTCTCTCTCTCTCTCTCTCTAACTTGTTTTCAATGAAAGTTGAGTCATCATGGATTAAATTTCTATAAAATGGGATTTTAAATGATTGAAGAAGAAATGAAGAAAGAGGAAGGTAATCTGTTTCAGAATACGAAAGGAACTAAAGTGAAATAGCTCATTTGAAATTCCTAATAAGGTCTGGGCTGTCCTGCTTCTTCATTCATTTGAAGTTACTGGTAAGGTCGTCAGGCAATGACAGAAACATCATTTGATAACTGATTACAGTATGAGTATGATCGGGCTTTGTTTGTTCTGCCTGAGAATTGAGGGTGTAACCTTTCAAAGTCGCAGTGTAGTTCTGACAGGGGAAGGAATGGCTCTAATTAAAATTATAAATCTTCAAGGATTTTCTTCCTGATTAACTGGCCATAGATTAAGATGCCTGTAAAATAGGCTGTAAGTCATGGGAGAAGAAAAATGAAAGTAAGGTTTTGTTCCAAAATACAAAGGAACTTAAGAACCATGATAAGCTGCTGGCTGTTTTGTTTCTTTATTCACTTGAAGCTACTGGTAAGTTGTGAGGTAATCAGCCAATGCAAGAAAGATCATTTGAGAAAATGAGTCTTGACATGTGATTTTAAATGTTGATACGAGACTCTGGCAAGTGCATCTTTGACTATGGCTGCCATTTGCAATCTTATAGACAGTAGGAGACTGACGTGCAAGAACAAATAATTACTAACTTTTGCTTGAAGTGCTCTATTAAAACTCCTGAAGAAGGCAATAATGAAATTAGTAAAATTCATCTACCAATATTTTCTGACAGAAATACATTATGTATGTATATATGTATATATACTGTCCAAATTTGCCTCCACCAGGATTACCTCAAATTCCTTCGGCTTGATGACTAAATGTGATTTGTGAACTGTTTGTATGTTTTAAAAAATTAGAATTATTATGTGAGATATTATTGCTCGAATGTTTAGGTTCAGTTTTATGGAATGCATTATGATGTGGAGTTGATGTTTGTTGTTGTGTGATTAGAAAAAGCTGTTAATAGCCTACTGCAATCTGGAGTTTAATGCATAGTTACATGGAAGACTTCATGTGTAGGGAATGAAACATCAGCAATTTACTACTATGTTAAATTCTATTTGAAACATAGTTTATTGTTGGAGAATGAATGCCCTTGTATCAGCTATTCAGTCAATTTCTTGTTTTTCACCCTTACGTGCAATTTTTTTTGAAGATTTCCACTTATACTTTCTTTTTCATAGTGTATTACCATCAATATTTCATATAGGAAAAAACCCCGTTGGCTCAGGACTCCTGAAGAGAGGACATTAGTAGGTCTTTCTAGATGCCTATATGCTTTCCACATACTTAAAGGAAAATTTTCCATAATTGGATCACATCTGAAAATGCTTTAACTGTTTGAAATATATGTCCAATTATGTGTTACTGCAATTGCACATAATATTTCCAGACATTTCTTATTTGCTTAAGTGGAAAAAGGAATCCATTCTTCCTTGTAATTTATATTTCTTTGAATAAGGAATCCATTCTTCCTTGTAATTTATATTTCTTTGAGATGTATCCTGTGGATGTTAACTTGTATGCTTATGCTTTCTGTCTGTAACTATGGATTAGTTGATTTCTTTGTGGTCTATAATTTTCTTATTTGCCGCAATTCTTTCTATAAAAGAAGATAGTACTAACTTCAAAGTGACGCATTGATCTGTCCAACTATTTTTTTTTTGTGACGTTGTTTTTATTATTATGATTAAAATAATTCTGCATAATCCTTATATCTGCACTTTTCACTTCCTTTTTTGTTCAAATTAATTTTTTGTTCAAATTAATTTTTTGTTCATAGATTATTTGTGGTTGCAAGTGTGTCCGTGAGTCCCTGGAGAGTTTAAAAAAATAGCAGACTTTTTGTTTCTTCACTGCTATTACTATTTACTATGGACTCTTTTTCGTTGACCAATCTGAATTGGTAGAGTTCTGCAGCTTAGACGTCTTTGTTGTCTTTTGCTCTAAAATTTTTTTATTTTTCTGTTTGAAAGGAGACTAAAAGCAAGACCTCAGCCACTTCCAACTTGGGATGGCCAAGTCATAGTGATATTTTCTCGAGATGTACTGCTGGTGCAATCAGAGGAAAAGGTGACAGGTTTTTGGTTGGCCAGCCTATGAACTCAGATAACACCTTTCAGAGTGTGATTGTATAAGTTCTATGTGGTCTTTGCAATCCAAATCCGAGATGAAGAGGTGGAAAGATCTAGTCCAAATCTTTTATTTTTTGTGATCAGGGATCATAATCTGGTTTCACTCCAAGTATCAGTCTGTGCACATTGGACATGGAAAGAAGGCCAGACTCACTTGTGGGCAGATATTTTTGTGTATCCAGTTTCAATGAGACGCATCAGTATCTTGCCTAGTGCTATGGCGAGATTGTAACTTGTGTTTTTATTAATAGTGTTTCCATCAAGGGTGGGGTATTCTGGATGCAGTTATTCCTTGAGTCTACAGTAGGCTGTGAAAATCTTAAAGAATACTAAGGAATTGAAGATATTGGATCATGGCCTTTCATGTACCTATTGGATGAAAATACGATTTATATAATTTGAAAGGGAATATGCTTCTAATATGATTGAAACTACTCTGAGTGCTAGTGCATCTATTAGTTTCATCAGTATATTTTAGCTAGCTGTGTTGATTTTTATGTGACAACAGTTCACATTGTATCATCGATGACTGTACTTGGATGAAATATTTCATGAATGGCTTGATTGTGTGTTTATAATGATTAATGTTGATTTTTTGGATGTGATAAGTGTAAGTGATCATTATGTCAGTTTGAGGGAGTTTTAATTTATCATATTTTGTGCGGTATTTAGTTTTTTCATGTTGAGTTTTGTACTCAATAAGTTCATTTTGGATGATCTTATGTATTCGCCTCAAGGTTAAGATGATTTTCTTTGTTCTTAATTATTTGTATTTAATAATCGCTTACTTGAGGTTATATATAGTGGATAGTATTAATAGTTAGTTACTGAAGAATATTCTGCCTGATTATTGGATATATGAATAAATGTCAGAAGAGTGCCAAAAGGCAAAAGACTAATACTTTTTCATCGAACAGGTTAGGCTATTTTTATCAGAAGAATCCCCTTCGCAGGTTGGATTAAATTCTCAAGATCACCTCCAAGCTAAGGCATCATTGCAGTTCCCTGCAGGTGGACCAGGTTCCGATGACATTCTGCCTCCTGGATTTGAGGGAACTCATACTTCAAGTCAGTTTGAGATTAAGCCATCTCAAATACCAGTTATTAAGTGGATTACTCCTCCAAAGGTAGTTTTGTTTTAGTTCTCTATTAAGCATTTTTCCTCTGTAATTTTCAGTATTATCTATATGTCCAAATAGGTGAAAGAAAAGTAAGAAAAAAATGGCTATATCCATGAGTTTGTCTTCATTATTACATCTCTTTTAGTCAATTTGTGATTCTCCCAGATTGTGCTAAATCTCGAATGGCAAGTAGTGTCTGGGGAAGAAAGCAAAGAGGTAGAGGATCAACGTCAGAGGGAGATGAGAGTACTTGAAGCTATTTATCCTCGCACATCATCCATTCCTCCAAAGTTTGTGTCTCTTCCGTGCCTTGTACTGTAATTTTTCTTTGTATCCATATTTTGTCATATAAGATTTTTTCTCCCCTGCATGCAGCCCTTCTGTTTCAGTGGATGTTGAAGATTCAAATTACATGGATGTTCAACCTGTACTGATACCAATAACGGCAATTGAAGATGACGATGCAGCAGCAGATACATTATCGGATTCCTTGGAACCAGTTGATGCTTCACAATCTCTTGAATTACCTCCCGGTATGTTGAAGAATTCAAACTCTGCCACAAGTACGCAATTTGCTCGTGGTCTGACATCTGATGTATCTGCTGCATCTATTGCTTTAACTAACATTGTGAGGAGCAACGAACATGGGAAATTGATTGACCATGAATTACTTAATAATATTCTCAGCAATCCAGAAGTGATTGAGAAATTGGTTAGAGATTATGGACCTACTAATAGTTCGCAATATGTACATAATGTGGGGTCGTCCTGTGCGGTTTTTTCAAATCCTCCTATTCCTGTTAATCAAGGAGAAACCGCTACACCTTCATCGATTGCTTTTTCAGCCACTTCTTCCTATACACCATCTACCGGAGGTCAGGTGGCACCTGTTTCTACCCAATGGCTTCCTAGGCCTGCAACCAGTTCAGCTATTGTTTCTTCTCCTGTTGAGGTTCCTGCTGCGAAAGATGTTAACTACTATAAGAGTTTAATTCAGCAACATGGAGGAGATAAACAAGAAACACTGCCATATTCCAGTAAACGTCAGATTCATCAGCCAGTAACAAGTTATGAGCCAACATACAATCAAAGAGCTAAAGTGTCAAAACCAAAGATAATGAAGCCTTGTATCTTTTTCAACAGTTCTAGAGGATGTCGAAATGGAGCTAACTGTGCCTACCAGCATGACGCGTCATTTCAGCCACGAGGTAATACCGTGGCGGGGATACAAAGTTCAAAGAGAATGAAAATGGATCATGAGATTAGCAGTTAAATGAACTCTGTTGATTGGTGGTGTCGATTGCCGTTTAATGTCATGGTGACGGTTGAATGCAGGTTCATATGCTTTTTGATGTGATCCAATTAGCCTTTAATTTGATGAGCAATTGTGAGCCTTGTTTGCAACTAGTTTCAAAAGCTACATGTATAATTTTTTAATGAAAGGCTCTTCGTTTTCTTCCCTTGTTTTGAGAATTTGCCAAATTTACTACTTTTCTTGGTCAATCTTCCGATGATTGTATTTTAAGATGAAGACTGATTACAGGCACCACCAGCTGGATGATGTCTTTTTCCTTTTTCTTTTCTTTACTTTCTGGCAATATAATTTACATTTTTGTGGAATTTAATCTGCCTTGACGTTATCATTGGCCATAAGGTGAAGGATACAACTTTTTTGCTCAATATGGACATGAAATCGCCAATTTAAGATTAGAAATTGTAGTTAGCAACAAATGTCATAAAAACATAATTCATGGATTGTGGAATATTTTTATGAATGGGGCATTTGGTTTGTTAAAATATTTTATTTTTATTTATTGTTTTGATTTTCAATATGTTAAGATTTATAAATTTCTGTTTGGTTTTTTACATTTTATTTTCAGTTTCTTGTTTGACGCTCCACTTATCCTATGTCGTAAAAGAGAGTGACATCACATCGACAATCCATCTGTCTGGATGACACTAATGCTGTTGAATGGATCATTGTTGTTTACATTTGCAATATCTTTTCCTTATTTTCAGCTTTTGTTAAAATTATTTAAAAATTATTTTTTTATTTTTGTTTGAAATTATATTCAATTCATAATAAGTACTTGTAAATTTTATTTTTTAAATTGATTTAATAAGATTAAATTAATTTAAAATTTACTTCTTAATATATAATATAATATAAAAATTAGATTATAGTCTATTTTAAAAAAATTTAATATATATATTATATACATAAAAGGATTAGAAAATGTAACTTAACAATAATATATTTAAATGAAAGAAAAACCAATCAATTAATGATCAAATAAATGTTTTCACTCGCTTAACTTTATTTACATTAATTTAATTATTACACAAGCTAAAATACATATGTTTATTGCATAAAATAATTTAATTTTAAAAATTTATAACTTTTTTTTGTCCATAAAATCAATTTTATAATATTATTATTTTTATGCACTAGCTTAAAAAATATAAAAGTAATACAATTTAGAAATATATATGATTTTGTAAAATAAAATAAAAAATATTTAATAATTTTGAAATATAAAATATTCAATTCTTTTTTGTCAAATAAATAAATTATTTTTTATTTATTGAAAAGTAAAATTATTCATACCAAAAGAAATGATCAAAATGTTATACCTTATAGAATGGTATAAATACCAGATTAAAATAAATAATAATGAAATTTAAATAATAAAAACCTTATTTTAGTCTGAATATTAAAATTAAAAATAAATTAATTACAATATTGAATATTGCTTACGTAATTGTCAATTAGAGATAGTAAATCCCCCAAATGGAAGAGAAAGCGAAAATTTGAAATACGAAACCCTAAACTCATCCATCCGCATAAACTTTTTTCGGTTTCTCCTTTTACGCTTTCTTCACCAACTTGATTAAGGTTTTGGTCTTCATTGGTTTTGGATTTTACGACTCCGAGTTGGATAGAACAATGTTGAAGTTCCTGTCGAGAGTGAAAATCGAGTTCAACGTGCTGGATCCGCGAACGGCGTCGTGTATGGAGTTTCTGGCGCAATGCAACTCGCGTAAGGCGAAGGAATCGAACCCGGCGTGCGAAGTGGAGGTAAAGCGCGGCAAGGTAGAGTGCGCGCCGCAGATAACAGTGACATTCGTGAACGGCGTGGAGGAAGTTTTCGACGCGACGGCGACACCGGCACAGAACATAAGAAACTTGATTCTGGAAAAAGGTCGGCAGCTCGAGACGGAGCAGATGTTTCGTGAAGCCGGAGAATCCTGGCCCGTTATCATCCCCGACGAGGAGCTTTCTCAAATTGCACCCCCCACCAAAGTGAGTACTCATTTTCAACTTTATTTATTGGGCCTGTAATACTTTTACACCTAAGTAATTTAAGTGAAAAAAGGTTCATTGATTTTATTATGTGATACTTCACAATTTAGATTGTGTGTAGAATGCAAACATAGGTGATATAGTTAACAGATACCATAGTCCTTTATGCATTATAAGTTTTTCTCTCAGATCCCTGTGTCCGCTAAAAGTGGGCAACCATAAGGATGGTGTGTAGAGTTTTGTTATGCCAGTGAATGAAAATTTTGTTGATGGAAGAGTAGTTATGATTTTAAAGTAAGGTGTGATTCGCAAAATTCATTTTAGGCTTGCTAGTTTTGGTTATGGGTGTGTGCACAATGACTGGAGAATTTCCTGGATTCTATGAGGGAATTTGTGGTATTTTTGTGGATGATAACTTAATGGTTTTTTATAGTAGTTGTTTTGCAGATTGATAAAACGGAGTACTTAGTTTGGATAAACTTATTCATAATCATTTACAAGAAAATTGAGACTTAAGATGAATTTAGCTTCTTCTATAAACTAAAGTCAACTTATGCACTCAACTTTTATATAAGTTTTCTTGTTTAACTTTTCCAAACTGAAGTGCATAATTTAATTTTGACATATTACAGAAATTCAATTTATTTTATTTCATATTCTTCTCCATTAACTGATTGTGAGGAAGTTTCTCCAAACATTGTCTAAATATGTTGTCACTGTTCCATGGTTTTTTTTTAGTTGTACAACAGCGGTTTATATGCATGGCTTTACAACTTCTGTTTCTATAACTCAGCAATTTGGTTTAGTGTTGAATACGACTTTTATTCATCGTCTTCAATATGTCTTCTCTTTGTGAAGTGTAGTCTATAGTTATAGCAGTTGTAATTAATTTCTGTGCTTTATGTGCGCTTCTTTCAGCCAAGGAAAGCAGAAGACAAGAAGCAATAGCTAAAAATTCTTGAGCTTATTAACTGCTGGGGATTTTTCTGGTTTTTCTTGTTTACTTTTGGTAGGCGGAGAAAAGGCATCCGATTGCTGCTGCTGTGCATGCCTTACTTTATTTCAGCATTTAGTTATTGACTACATGACTGCATACTTTTTCCATAATAATGTATGCCCTTCAATTGGTGAATTTTGAAACTGTAAGCTTGTCATGCTTGCTTTTTTCTTTCTTCTGGCTTACACCTACAGTGTTTCCATGAGAATGATCTAGCCTCTATAAAGTACAAATGTTGTGAACATAAGCTCCCAAATGATATCAGATTATTGATTCGGAGGCACAACACACCGAAGAGCAAACCTTTGAAGTTTGGCTATCAATATTCTTATATTTCAGGGGATAATAACTGTTTGCATGCAATACTTATTGGCCCAGCTGCTACAAAATTTCGAGATTAAGTGTAAACTGTCCCAAACGGATGGGTTGGGAGTTTTATTTTAGAATGAATCTGTCCCCGCGAAGATAGCTGAATGCTAGGATTTCACAAATTAATAGCTGCAAATTCATCCTAATCACAGGGAACACAATAAAGTCAGTTTTTGAATAGTTGATGTGGTTATGTAAAGTTTGGACTTAAGTAAATGTTTTCAATGTTAAGATTTGAGAGTGGGCTTTTAAGTTATTGACCTTTATTTTCTATTGAACAAGTTTTTTGCCTTTGAAATTGATTGCCTACAGAGATGTACACATTCATCAACGTGCAGAGTTAAAAAATTCTATTTGGTATATTTGTTGCTATAAGAGAGATGTGTTGCCAGTTATACAGTAAGCCAGATTTTATTTCCAGAGTTATAAATTATACTTAATGGTTAAAAAAGAAAAGAGTTGTAAGTACACTCTTTCTAATGTACATTTTATTATTAATTAAGTATTTAAAACTATAAAAAGGGAACCATAATTATATAAAATTTATAGCACTTAATAAAAAAGGGAACCATAATTAAAGGAATGATTTCTAAAGTAACATTTGACATTTCTCTTCAAGAGATAAAGAGGAACAAAACTAAAAGGGTTAAATATGTTTTTAGTCCCTAAACTATTGATCGTTTTTGGTTTTCGTCCCTCTTCAAGGTACAATTTGGTCCTCAATCTTTAAAAAACGTTCGTTTTAGTCGAAAAAACGAACGTTTTGAGGACTAAAACGAGGACTAAAAACAAAATTTTGANTGACCAATCTGAATTGGTAGAGTTCTGCAGCTTAGACGTCTTTGTTGTCTTTTGCTCTAAAATTTTTTTATTTTTCTGTTTGAAAGGAGACTAAAAGCAAGACCTCAGCCACTTCCAACATGGGATGGCCAAGTCATAGTGATATTTTCTCGAGATGTACTGCTGGTGCAATCAGAGGAAAAGGTGACAGGTTTTTGGTTGGCCAGCCTATGAACTCAGATAACACCTTTCAGAGTGTGATTGTATAAGTTCTATGTGGTCTTTGCAATCCAAATCCGAGATGAAGAGGTGGAAAGATCTAGTCCAAATCTTTTATTTTTTGTGATCAGGGATCATAATCTGGTTTCACTCCAAGTATCAGTCTGTGCACATTGGACATGGAAAGAAGGCCAGACTCACTTGTGGGCAGATATTTTTGTGTATCCAGTTTCAATGAGACGCATCAGTATCTTGCCTAGTGCTATGGCGAGATTGTAACTTGTGTTTTTATTAATAGTGTTTCCATCAAGGGTGGGGTATTCTGGATGCAGTTATTCCTTGAGTCTACAGTAGGCTGTGAAAATCTTAAAGAATACTAAGGAATTGAAGATATTGGATCATGGCCTTTCATGTACCTATTGGATGAAAATACGATTTATATAATTTGAAAGGGAATATGCTTCTAATATGATTGAAACTACTCTGAGTGCTAGTGCATCTATTAGTTTCATCAGTATATTTTAGCTAGCTGTGTTGATTTTTATGTGACAACAGTTCACATTGTATCATCGATGACTGTACTTGGATGAAATATTTCATGAATGGCTTGATTGTGTGTTTATAATGATTAATGTTGATTTTTTGGATGTGATAAGTGTAAGTGATCATTATGTCAGTTTGAGGGAGTTTTAATTTATCATATTTTGTGCGGTATTTAGTTTTTTCATGTTGAGTTTTGTACTCAATAAGTTCATTTTGGATGATCTTATGTATTCGCCTCAAGGTTAAGATGATTTTCTTTGTTCTTAATTATTTGTATTTAATAATCGCTTACTTGAGGTTATATATAGTGGATAGTATTAATAGTTAGTTACTGAAGAATATTCTGCCTGATTATTGGATATATGAATAAATGTCAGAAGAGTGCCAAAAGGCAAAAGACTAATACTTTTTCATCGAACAGGTTAGGCTATTCTTATCAGAAGAATCCCCTTCGCAGGTTGGATTAAATTCTCAAGATCACCTCCAAGCTAAGGCATCATTGCAGTTCCCTGCAGGTGGACCAGGTTCCGATGACATTCTGCCTCCTGGATTTGAGGGAACTCATACTTCAAGTCAGTTTGAGATTAAGCCATCTCAAATACCAGTTATTAAGTGGATTACTCCTCCAAAGGTAGTTTTGTTTTAGTTCTCTATTAAGCATTTTTCCTCTGTAATTTTCAGTATTATCTATATGTCCAAATAGGTGAAAGAAAAGTAAGAAAAAAATGGCTATATCCATGAGTTTGTCTTCATTATTACATCTCTTTTAGTCAATTTGTGATTCTCCCAGATTGTGCTAAATCTCGAATGGCAAGTAGTGTCTGGGGAAGAAAGCAAAGAGGTAGAGGATCAACGTCAGAGGGAGATGAGAGTACTTGAAGCTATTTATCCTCGCACATCATCCATTCCTCCAAAGTTTGTGTCTCTTCCGTGCCTTGTACTGTAATTTTTCTTTGTATCCATATTTTGTCATATAAGATTTTTTCTCCCCTGCATGCAGCCCTTCTGTTTCAGTGGATGTTGAAGATTCAAATTACATGGATGTTCAACCTGTACTGATACCAATAACGGCAATTGAAGATGACGATGCAGCAGCAGATACATTATCGGATTCCTTGGAACCAGTTGATGCTTCACAATCTCTTGAATTACCTCCCGGTATGTTGAAGAATTCAAACTCTGCCACAAGTACGCAATTTGCTCGTGGTCTGACATCTGATGTATCTGCTGCATCTATTGCTTTAACTAACATTGTGAGGAGCAACGAACATGGGAAATTGATTGACCATGAATTACTTAATAATATTCTCAGCAATCCAGAAGTGATTGAGAAATTGGTTAGAGATTATGGACCTACTAATAGTTCGCAATATGTACATAATGTGGGGTCGTCCTGTGCGGTTTTTTCAAATCCTCCTATTCCTGTTAATCAAGGAGAAACCGCTACACCTTCATCGATTGCTTTTTCAGCCACTTCTTCCTATACACCATCTACCGGAGGTCAGGTGGCACCTGTTTCTACCCAATGGCTTCCTAGGCCTGCAACCAGTTCAGCTATTGTTTCTTCTCCTGTTGAGGTTCCTGCTGCGAAAGATGTTAACTACTATAAGAGTTTAATTCAGCAACATGGAGGAGATAAACAAGAAACACTGCCATATTCCAGTAAACGTCAGATTCATCAGCCAGTAACAAGTTATGAGCCAACATACAATCAAAGAGCTAAAGTGTCAAAACCAAAGATAATGAAGCCTTGTATCTTTTTCAACAGTTCTAGAGGATGTCGAAATGGAGCTAACTGTGCCTACCAGCATGACGCGTCATTTCAGCCACGAGGTAATACCGTGGCGGGGATACAAAGTTCAAAGAGAATGAAAATGGATCATGAGATTAGCAGTTAAATGAACTCTGTTGATTGGTGGTGTCGATTGCCGTTTAATGTCATGGTGACGGCTGAATGCAGGTTCATATGCTTTTTGATGTGATCCAATTAGCCTTTAATTTGATGAGCAATTGTGAGCCTTGTTTGCAACTAGTTTCAAAAGCTACATGTATAATTTTTTAATGAAAGGCTCTTCGTTTTCTTCCCTTGTTTTGAGAATTTGCCAAATTTACTACTTTTCTTGGTCAATCTTCCGATGATTGTATTTTAAGATGAAGACTGATTACAGGCACCACCAGCTGGATGATGTCTTTTTCCTTTTTCTTTTCTTTACTTTCTGGCAATATAATTTACATTTTTGTGGAATTTAATCTGCCTTGACGTTATCATTGGCCATAAGGTGAAGGATACAACTTTTTTGCTCAATATGGACATGAAATCGCCAATTTAAGATTAGAAATTGTAGTTAGCAACAAATGTCATAAAAACATAATTCATGGATTGTGGAATATTTTTATGAATGGGGCATTTGGTTTGTTAAAATATTTTATTTTTATTTATTGTTTTGATTTTCAATATGTTAAGATTTATAAATTTCTGTTTGGTTTTTTACATTTTATTTTCAGTTTCTTGTTTGACGCTCCACTTATCCTATGTCGTAAAAGAGAGTGACATCACATCGACAAGCCATCTGTCTGGATGACACTAATGCTGTTGAATGGATCATTGTTGTTTACAATTGCAATATCTTTTCCTTATTTTCAGCTTTTGTTAAAATTATTTAAAAATTATTTTTTAATTTTTGTTTGAAATTATAATCAATTCATAATAAGTACTTGCAAATTTTATTTTTTAAATTGATTTAATAAGATTAAATTAATTTAAAATTTACTTCTTAATATATAATATAATATAAAAATTAGATTATAGTCTATTTTAAAAAAATTTAATATATATATTATATACATAAAAGGATTAGAAAATGTAACTTAACAATAATATATTTAAATGAAAGAAAAACCAATCAATTAATGATCAAATAAATGTTTTCACTCGCTTAACTTTATTTACATTAATTTAATTATTACACAAGCTAAAATACATATGTTTATTGCATAAAATAATTTAATTTTAAAAATGTATAACTTTTTTTTGTCCATAAAATCAATTTTATAATATTATTATTTTTATGCACTAGCTTAAAAAATATAAAAGTAATACAATTTAGAAATATATATGATTTTGTAAAATAAAATAAAAAATATTTAATAATTTTGAAATATAAAATATTCAATTCTTTTTTGTCAAATAAATAAATTATTTTTTATTTATTGAAAAGTAAAATTATTCATACCAAAAGAAATGATCAAAATGTTATACCTTATAGAATGGTATAAATACCAGATTAAAATAAATAATAATGAAATTTAAATAATAAAAACCTTATTTTAGTCTGAATATTAAAATTAAAAATAAATTAATTACAATATTGAATATTGCTTACGTAATTGTCAATTAGAGATAGTAAATCCCCCAAATGGAAGAGAAAGCGAAAATTTGAAATACGAAACCCTAAACTCATCCATCCGCATAAACTTTTTTCGGTTTCTCCTTTTACGCTTTCTTCACCAACTTGATTAAGGTTTTGGTCTTCATTGGTTTTGGATTTTACGACTCCGAGTTGGATAGAACAATGTTGAAGTTCCTGTCGAGAGTGAAAATCGAGTTCAACGTGCTGGATCCGCGAACGGCGTCGTGTATGGAGTTTCTGGCGCAATGCAACTCGCGTAAGGCGAAGGAATCGAACCCGGCGTGCGAAGTGGAGGTAAAGCGCGGCAAGGTAGAGTGCGCGCCGCAGATAACAGTGACATTCGTGAACGGCGTGGAGGAAGTTTTCGACGCGACGGCGACACCGGCACAGAACATAAGAAACTTGATTCTGGAAAAAGGTCGGCAGCTCGAGACGGAGCAGATGTTTCGTGAAGCCGGAGAATCCTGGCCCGTTATCATCCCCGACGAGGAGCTTTCTCAAATTGCACCCCCCACCAAAGTGAGTACTCATTTTCAACTTTATTTATTGGGCCTGTAATACTTTTACACCTAAGTAATTTAAGTGAAAAAAGGTTCATTGATTTTATTATGTGATACTTCACAATTTAGATTGTGTGTAGAATGCAAACATAGGTGATATAGTTAACAGATACCATAGTCCTTTATGCATTATAAGTTTTTCTCTCAGATCCCTGTGTCCGCTAAAAGTGGGCAACCATAAGGATGGTGTGTAGAGTTTTGTTATGCCAGTGAATGAAAATTTTGTTGATGGAAGAGTAGTTATGATTTTAAAGTAAGGTGTGATTCGCAAAATTCATTTTAGGCTTGCTAGTTTTGGTTATGGGTGTGTGCACAATGACTGGAGAATTTCCTGGATTCTATGAGGGAATTTGTGGTATTTTTGTGGATGATAACTTAATGGTTTTTTATAGTAGTTGTTTTGCAGATTGATAAAACGGAGTACTTAGTTTGGATAAACTTATTCATAATCATTTACAAGAAAATTGAGACTTAAGATGAATTTAGCTTCTTCTATAAACTAAAGTCAACTTATGCACTCAACTTTTATATAAGTTTTCTTGTTTAACTTTTCCAAACTGAAGTGCATAATTTAATTTTGACATATTACAGAAATTCAATTTATTTTATTTCATATTCTTCTCCATTAACTGATTGTGAGGAAGTTTCTCCAAACATTGTCTAAATATGTTGTCACTGTTCCATGGTTTTTTTTTAGTTGTACAACAGCGGTTTATATGCATGGCTTTACAACTTCTGTTTCTATAACTCAGCAATTTGGTTTAGTGTTGAATACGACTTTTATTCATCGTCTTCAATATGTCTTCTCTTTGTGAAGTGTAGTCTATAGTTATAGCAGTTGTAATTAATTTCTGTGCTTTATGTGCGCTTCTTTCAGCCAAGGAAAGCAGAAGACAAGAAGCAATAGCTAAAAATTCTTGAGCTTATTAACTGCTGGGGATTTTTCTGGTTTTTCTTGTTTACTTTTGGTAGGCGGAGAAAAGGCATCCGATTGCTGCTGCTGTGCATGCCTTACTTTATTTCAGCATTTAGTTATTGACTACATGACTGCATACTTTTTCCATAATAATGTATGCCCTTCAATTGGTGAATTTTGAAACTGTAAGCTTGTCATGCTTGCTTTTTTCTTTCTTCTGGCTTTCACCTACAGTGTTTCCATGAGAATGATCTAGCCTCTATAAAGTACAAATGTTGTGAACATAAGCTCCCAAATGATATCAGATTATTGATTCGGAGGCACAACACACCGAAGAGCAAACCTTTGAAGTTTGGCTATCAATATTCTTATATTTCAGGGGATAATAACTGTTTGCATGCAATACTTATTGGCCCAGCTGCTACAAAATTTCGAGATTAAGTGTAAACTGTCCCAAACGGATGGGTTGGGAGTTTTATTTTAGAATGAATCTGTCCCCGCGAAGATAGCTGAATGCTAGGATTTCACAAATTTATAGCTGCAAATTCATCCTAATCACAGGGAACACAATAAAGTCAGTTTTTGAATAGTTGATGTGGTTATGTAAAGTTTGGACTTAAGTAAATGTTTTCAATGTTAAGATTTGAGAGTGGGCTTTTAAGTTATTGACCTTTATTTTCTATTGAACAAGTTTTTTGCCTTTGAAATTGATTGCCTACAGAGATGTACACATTCATCAACGTGCAGAGTTAAAAAATTCTATTTGGTATATTTGTTGCTATAAGAGAGATGTGTTGCCAGTTATACAGTAAGCCAGATTTTATTTCCAGAGTTATAAATTATACTTAATGGTTAAAAAAGAAAAGAGTTGTAAGTACACTCTTTCTAATGTACATTTTATTATTAATTAAGTATTTAAAACTATAAAAAGGGAACCATAATTATATAAAATTTATAGCACTTAATAAAAAAGGGAACCATAATTAAAGGAATGATTTCTAAAGTAACATTTGACATTTCTCTTCAAGAGATAAAGAGGAACAAAACTAAAAGGGTTAAATATGTTTTTAGTCCCTAAACTATTGATCGTTTCTGGTTTTCGTCCCTCTTCCAAACTAAGGTACAATTTGGTCCTCAATCTTTAAAAAACGTTCGTTTTAATCGAAAAAACGAACGTTTTGAGGACTAAAACGAGGACTAAAAACAAAATTTTGAAGACTAAAACGAACGTTTTTCTAAAGAATGAGGACCAAATTGTACTTTAGTTTGGAAGAGGGACGAAAACCAGAAACGGCCAATAGTTTAGGGACTAAAAACATATTTAACCCAAACTAAAAAGAGCAATGATATTTGATTTCATATATCCATTTATCAAACACTTTTTATTTTTTTCATTTTATGACATCATCCATTCTAAAAAATTATTATTTTTATTTTCTATTACATATTAATTAAGTATTACTAAGATTTTTAGTGTACATATGAATACTTAAGAAAAAAAAGCCTAAAATGAAAAAAACAAAGAGCCTAAAATGAAAAATGATGAGGTGGACGAAAATAGTCTTCAATTCATAAGAAGCATTATGCCTTCCTCCTGTGCATCATTAAGCATTAAGTAACTACAATTAATCATACAGAAAAACGATTATTTAAAAAAAATCACTGTAGGAGTAAAATAGGCATTAAAAATAATTTTTTATATATATAAAAAAGAAGAATAATATTAAATAAATGTAAAAATTTATTATGTGTAAAAGTATTACTATCCTAATAATACACAGATGGCGTATAAATGAAGAGCTTACGTGTAAAATAACGAGCTACACACAAACACACAACAGACACAAAAGCAAATCAAGGTAGTGTTCTTCTTTACTCTCCAAGATGGGTTCCGTGTCTCTGAAAATAGGCGACGGCACTGCCAGATTCAAAAGTTCAACCGTGTGTTCCTCCCGAGTTAACATTCTCATGATCTTCTCCGTTATCACCACCAACCTCTTTGCCCTCTATGCCTTCTCTTCTTCCACAAAAGATCTTCACAACCACCACCTTCTTCACAAAAACTTCTCCCTAATCTCCGAACAAGTCACCCTCATTCTACGAGAGATCGACTTGTCGCAAAAGAAACTTGCCCAGATGGAAAAGGACCTCCTCGGCTACGAAAGCATTGACCTTTCCCGAAATAACACCTCCAACGAACTCAAACTCTTTCTCCACCGCCACCACCTTCCTCTGGGCAAAGACTCGAAAACTGGAATCACCGAAATGGTCTCGTCTGTGGGCCACTCCTGCGACAAATCCTGGGACTTGTTGTATCAGTACATGAATTACAAGGTTTCTGGACCCTGCCCCAATGATTTGAGTGTGGCACAGAAACTCGTTCTGAAAGGGTGTGAGCCTTTACCGAGAAGAAGGTGTTTTTCTAAAACCATTTCTAAGGTGGGTCTTCTACGCCCTTTTCCCACCTCGCTTTGGGAACCTCCGGTTAACAACACTGTTAACTGGAGTGGTTTAGGTTGCAAGAGTTTTGAGTGTTTGAAGGGTAAAAAGTTGAGTAGAGAGTGCATTGGTTGCTTTGATTTGGTTAATGGGTATGAAAATCAGAGGTTTGTGAAGTCTAGGAGTAAGAATGATTTTCTAGTTGATGATGTGTTGACTTTGGGAGGTGGTGGAATTAGGATAGGGCTTGATGTTGGAGGTGGGTCTGGGTCCTTTGGTGCTGTGATGGCCGAGAGGAATGTTACTGTGGTTATTACCACTTTGAATGTTGGTGCTCCATTCAGTGAATTCATTGCTGCAAGAGGACTTTTTCCTCTATATTTGAGCTTGGATCATAGGTTCCCGTTTTATGACAATGTGTTTGATTTGGTGCGTGCTGCGAGTGGTTTGGATGGTGGGGGGAGGCACGAGAAGTTGGAGTTTTTGATGTTTGACATTGATCGTGTTTTGCGGCCAGGTGGTTTGTTATGGCTTGATAACTTCTACTGTGTTGATGAAGAGAAGAAAAGGGTGTTAACCAGGTTGATTGAACGGTTTGGGTACAAAAAGTTGAAATGGGTTGTGGGAGAAAAGGTTGATAGTCTTGGATCAGGTAAGTCACAGGCAGTGTTATCAGCAGTGCTTCAGAAGCATGTTAGAGTGTAAAGCTTCATAAGACAACATGACACGATGAAACACGCAATCTGTGTATGGATGGATGAACAAATAAGTGAATGAATATGACTGTTTAAAAGTACTGGTTTGTATGTTATTCTGGTACTGCTACCTATTTTGTAGGTGATAACTTCCTAGAGAACGAAAAGTGATGCTATCTTGAGTTTTTCTTTTTTTGTCAACATCCTCGTATAATTTCTAAAAAACTTACTCGTAGGATTGTTGTTGTTCCATGAAATACTATTTCTGTCTCTTTCACTTCATTGTCCTGAATTCAACCACCTTATCGTTTATATGACTTGAAGAAAATTCTTCATGGCAGAGATTGCCTTTGCTCAGTGGATGTATTTGGGGGTTCAAACCTAGAATTGGAAATTCAAAAGGAAGACAATGAACTTGGAATTTCAAAAAGCCATTGTCTGCAGCATTTACTTCGTATCATTATTACTTCATTTAATCTTTCACCAAACCATTTTGGGTGATATCCGACCTTAACAATTGAATGCATGGAGTATCCAAGGTTGGACCTTGTTTGACACTATTTGATAACTATTTTACATTCATGTAGGGATAAAATAGTATTAAAAAAGGTAAATTATAATATTTGCAAAAAAAAAAGGAAATAAAATGTAGTAAAAGGTAGTGTAAAATGGTTTTGAATGTCAAATTACATATGTTTTTTGACTGTTGTTAGTAAACAAAATGTCTCCGTTGGGCTAATCAAACGTTATTCGCACCCTTGTTTGGGCCTTTGGGATAATCTAAATGTTAAAAAGGAGGCTGCTTCTTCTTGCACCACTATGTTTTTCTTCCTGCATCCCATATTTTTGAAAAAAAAAAAACCTTATACATAGAATAGGTGTTGTTTTTCAATTAAATTAAATAGTTACATCGTGAAGTTAAATTAGTTATGCAGCTTGTAAAAATGAGTAAGTAAATGTTTTTTCTAAGTTCTTGTTTATAGTTTATGTATAAGCTAATTTTATGTTATGAAATAATTTATTTATCTAAAATTATTTGTGGAGAATTTTATTCCAACATTAAAAAAAAGTAAAAGTAGCATAGTCTAAGATTAGAGTCATAACAAAATATTGAATAGAAAAAAATATCTAGGAGATTTTAGAGTATTTGAAAATAAATTTTTTTGTTGTTTATTTAAGTGAATTTGAAGGTAAATAAGAATGAATTTGGAACTAAATTTTTTTAATCTGTCACGTCAATCAAATCGTACATTAATTTTCACAAACTTTACTTCCAAATCCACTCTCACTTATCTCCAAATCCACTTAAATAAACAACAACAAAATTTACCTTCAAATCCTCTTAAATCTCTTCAATCACTTTCCCCAAATCACTTTCCCCAAATCAAGGCCTTAATGATTTCCTGGTCTCATTTACAACCATGAAGCAAATAGCACACAGCCATTGATTCCTTCTTTAGAAGCTTCATCCACTCTGAATTTCTGCAGGTGAAAGAAATTCTAGTCCCAACCAACAAAATCCCTCCCTACAGAGAGAATTGGGTGGAATATGTAAAAGTGAGTGACGATAACATTTTTAGCAGAGTTATCAACTCGTGAGTGAAAAGAAGTCTATAAAGTAAACCTAAGCTGGAGTATGACTCACTATAACAAGAGTGAGAAAATCACTCCCATGGATTATCAAAAAACAAACACAGCATTGTTCTCATGACAGCATTATCATGTACTGTCATAATGTAATTAAGGTTCTTTATTGTTTCTTCGTTTTCCTTTCTTCCTAGTAATGTGGATTCTATATACCAAGTTTTCTTTACATGAATTCAGGGATGCTTCGCACGTAAAATAAATTGTTGCATGGCTATATAAATAGCAATTGTAATCACCACAATCTACCACTTGGATTCCAATAACACGAATGCAATTTCATCATATTTTTCGTCCAAATACCAGATTTCTAATAATGGACAATACCTTATAATACAAAATACTGCTTGTGTGCATAAAGTAAGTTTTAAAATAAAGTATATTACATAAATATTAC